GTTTGGTGGGATGGGGATTCGAACCCGCGAGTCGAGCCCCCTAACCACCTGGCCATACTCAACTTAAGATACTATTTTTTTTGAGTCTATAGTACAACAAATACCTTTTGACTGACAAAAGTGAGACACTTCCACAAATCATACAGCTCTAAAATCTAACTTAGAATTAAACTTCTAATCATGAACGTCCAGACACCACTATAAATTATAAACAAATTGTAAGCGTTTAATCACAGTACATTTGAGAAAGTGTTATGAGAAAATTTGAAAATGGAATATGATCACTTTTTAAGACTCTAGCCGAGGATTGTTTGTTTGTTTTTGAATTTCGCGCAAAGCTACACGATGGTTATCTGCGCTAGCCGTCCGTAATTTAGCAGTATACAACTAGATGGAAGGCAGCTAATCATCATCACCCACCGCCCACTTTTACCAACGAATAGTGGGATTGACCGTCATATTATAACGCCCCCACGGCTGAAAGGGCGAGCATGTTTGGCGGGACGGGGATTCGAACCCGCGACCCTCAGATTGCTAGTCGAGCGCCTTAACCACCTGGCCATGGAGCTTTTTCTTCTCTGTACTGGAAAATAATATTACGACTCATAACATTTCGTACTTATCCACAAAAAATGTTTTCAATGTATTATCAATTCCATCATCGCGAAACGTTTTCTAAGAATATTTTACCCGCCATTATTTAAAATTTTAAAAGTTGCTTACCAAAAGTAGTTAACTGTATCCTTAAAATACTAAATGATAACATCAACTCCTCCCTGTTGTAATTAATGTAATCAATTCCAGAATCTCGGTGATTTTACTTAATATTTATTATTACTTTAAAGATACGGTATTCATACTTATATTCAAGCGTTTCTCTATAGTAGTTTCTCTTAACAATGTTATTTATTTAACATGAGTATTTCGCACGTTTTATCGTGCATTCCATTATATTGTTACCGTTCTTTCAAAACTTCCGATTGAATACGAAATTTGCTCAATCCTAATATTGTTTTTTGTAGTTCAAATATTATTATCTCTTTTTCTTTAGATGTTGACGCTGATGATGGAATTTGAGGAAATTCCGAAACATCCATATTAAAGATGTTTTTTGGTATTACCGTGTTTTTAATATATATTATGACAATATTTCAATAACAATATTTCTTAGAAAGAAGTTTTAATCATAACGTTTTTTATACTAACATCGAGTAAAATCACCAGTGCTTTTCAAACGGAGTATTTGTATCAAATAAAATATCATTCATTCTGTTGTAAGCCAATTTCAGACAAGTTTATATGATTGCATACATTTTATTTTATGAAATAGATACTATGATAAAAATTTTGAAAATTTAATCATTAGATAAAGAACATAAATATCTAAGATGTATAAAAACACCTCTTGATGAAATTCGTTCTCTTTGAATTTACTTTCTACTTGTCCCCCGATGGGTCAGAGGTCAGTCTACGCACTTTCAACGCTAAAATCCGGGTTTCGATTCCCCGCGGTGGACACACCAGATAGCCCAGTTTGGCTTTGCTCTAAAATAAACAAACAGGCAATCATTTTCACTTTTCTATGTTATTCAAACCTCTTTAATTTCCTATTTATTTTTCATGTAGTCTTGATCCTTGTCCGTTAACCTACAAGAAATTACCGAGCATGACTTATCAAATAGAGGAGTAGAGTTATTAATACAATATTTAAGAGTTAGAAATGTTAGTTTAGTCAATGAACAAATAATTCAATAAAACCCGTTTCTCTCATTATTAGGTCGGGCGTGACCTAGTGGTTAGCGTATCGGGCTACTCATCGAAGATCCAAGTTCTGCACCAAGATACTGTTTAACACCATCCGAACTTTTAGTTTGTTTGTTTGTAATTAAGCACAAACCTACACCTGGGCTTCACGTTTATTTTTTAGTTTCTTAAACAGCTATTCAACTGAACAGTTTACAAAAATGAATTAATAGGCATCAATACTGCAATTTCTTCAAATTCTTATGCAAGTATAGAATTACTATGTGGGTAAAAAAGACATCTCAAAACACCATTCTA